TTAACGAAAAAATATTTTATTATAGCGTTTTGGAAAGCTCTCGAGATGTGCTATAAGAATATGCAATGAAAAATGGGGTGTTCCATTTAAAAAAATTAATGTGACCTTGACCTGACCTTCGCTACGCAACCCAAGGTCAAACTGATGTGATCAGTAAATACATCTTTTTAAACGCCAAACTTTTGTCTGAAACATTTTTTTGTGAAACTTATATTTTTCCTGATATTCGGGCGTCCCGGTACTTTCCGAACACCCTGTATATCCTTTTTACCTGCTACAACTGTAGAGAATTTGTTATCAGCAGCCAGATTAGACGGCGCTTGACAACATGTATAAATGCGGTGCCATACTGCTCGTATCCTGAGACGCAGATATACTCTGACTGCAACGTCGTACAAATATTTGGAGATTGGGATCAGCGTAGGACCTGTGTCTACCGTGGAAATAATCCTCGGTGACAATTATTAATGTTATACAAAATTCTTTTTTCGGGGGGCTGTTGAAGATAAAAGCTAAAAGGATGTCTCTTTTTACTTCATATCAAAGTATCTATGTAGGCATACATTAGGTAAAATTCTTTTTTTCGGGAACCGAATGTTCTCCTCAAAAGGTCTCGAATATTCTAAAATATGCTAAAACGGGACAAAGACAAAGGGTCGATAATATCAGTTAAAAAATTATAAAAATGCCGGTAATAATATATTGGTAAAAAATACCAGTAATAAACACTACACATCATTTTCTCTTGCGCTGTAATGCATCATGGCTGACATTGCTTCATCGACATATGATTGCTTAATTGATTGGCTACGACGCTGTGCCATGGATTTATTATCTAGTTTCGGAAAATGTATCAATACATGTGTTAACAATTCTGAAGACGAATAAGAGAGGGGATAAAAAATGTTGGTGAGGGACTTTGTCTATTATATTAGTAAGATTTAGACTATGGTTTCGTCAATCGTTCTGTATAGACGACGTTCGGTGGTAGTTCCCGAATACAGTAAAAAAAAATAAAAAAATGTACGGTGCTGAGGTAAACGCTAAACACGCAAATTACTACTTGCCCGTTCAATATGATGACATCCCACCGTGCAAGAAAAGATTTGAAAAGTAAGTAT